GAAAGCACTCGAGGCATTTTTTGTTTGTTTACGGTGTCACCAGGGCGGGTGTGATAAGAGGTTTTAAAACTATTTTCCACCATTAATTGCGGAGGCAAGTAGAATGGATTGCAGTTACTCTTGCGCGTTCGAAATCATTTGCTTAAGACTCCTAATTTCATATACTTTGTGCCTGGGAAACAGTATGAAAAAGACTTGCTGCTTAGGATTGTGCACTAAAGGCAGTTTCGGATTTGCATTACAAATCCTTCTGTAATGAAGGGTGTGAAATTACTCGCGCGATATTCACACACGCTCTCGTGTGATTATAATTCTAGCCCACAATGCACTTACTATCCCGTGCGAATAAAGAATCGTCTCTCCAATTATAGGCAGGCATGCAAAAAAACATCATTTATCCGCGTCTTGCAAATTCAGGGTAAAACCTCGAATTCACGTCTCGTCTTACAACACACCTGTACCTCGCTGGGAAGAGTTAATTGCGCCAATGCTGTGGTGCAGTGGTTGGCACAATGTGAATCGAGCTCAGGTGACCTGAGCTACACATCAGAGGCAATTGACATTTAAAGTGGTCCTTAAAGTGATCCTGGCAACTTCACTTCCCTTCACCAACGCGCACTTGACCAGCACAATGAAGTTTAGTCAAACAACCAACCCACGACTTGCACGCCACGTGGAGCTCTTCATCACGAAGCGGATTGACATGCACCGTTAAGCATTAAGGACGCTTCTTTGCTCGGGAACTTGGCATGTGATCGCAGGGCTGTGAGTTTACAGCCAAACCCGAATCAATTCATTGTCACCATCACCACCGTTCTTGTCCTGAGGTGAGTAAAATGTGTACCGCGCCAGTGAGGCTACACCGATTGGCAACACAGATAAGGCAGCCATCGGTAATCTCCTTGCGGAGAGACTGCCCTGCCTCACAATGACGGGAGGCTGTCAGAGGAATGCGGAACGATGTTTCACCTGCCGCGCCTGGAGACCACTGGGCCAGGCGTCGCAGCCTCCCAGCATCTCGCATTTGTAAAATTGCCGGTGACTAAAGTGCAAAACGTGAGTTCCCCCTCCCCCGAACGATCCGCGGGTGAATCATCGCGAGGGCTCTCGCGTGGTTTAATACGTTGGGTCGGGGCGCGCTTGAGAGATTGAATTGAAACAACGGAGGGCAGCAACAGGTGAAAAGTGAAGATTAATGACTCACACCGGTTCATTGAGACGTGTTCGCCAGGAGACCGAGAGACGGAGGGAGGAGGAGGGGGGGAAGGTCTATTGATTAGACATTGAGAGCTGTTCTTTAATTCCTTTTTGTGAGCGTGTGTTGTCTAGTGCCGTGGCACTTGGGCACTTTGTAAGTGCGCGTGCGTATTGAGAGCCACGCCTCTTGTACACGAGCTCTAACCCGCAGGCAAATGACAACGGCTAAAATTCGTACGCGATTAATGGATACGATACAAAAAAATTGTGTTAGCGTTTGGCTGCGGTGGTGTGAAATAGTCAAGGTTATCCGTCTAACCAGGTGAGAGCTACACAGGCCGGGGATATGGGTGGTCGCGTCTGCAAAGCGTGAACGTGGGTCGTCAAAGCGACGTGGGCTAAACGAATACAAAATAAAGTCCAGCGATGATGCGAATGGCAATCGGCGCGTGAGAAATAACAAATTGAACGCGCGTTCATAATTGTTGAATAATAAATTCCCTGCAGCGTAATTCGGCTCGGGAAGATAATTTTTGACTTTATCTCAGTGCATTTACAAAGTTATAGAGACATTCAAGATATATGAGGTGACTATTGCACTATAAGTAAATAGACAAAGATAGATTTGTGAGTCATTTGAAATTTCAAGGGACGTCAGATATCACAAATTTCAAAACGATATTAAGACTGACACTATATTTACAGAGTACCATTTAAACATCAGTTACCACACCCTTCAAAGATTTGCCAAATCTCCTTTCCGCAACACGTGGCTCAGTTATGCACTTGGAACGAATGATTGCATTACGATTGGAAGGATAAGTCTCACGCTGTTGGTGTTGACATTTACGATGGATCATTCACACCCCCCCCCCCCCCCGTCTCACGACCGTAACTCCGTGTGCATGCAGAGTCATGCGATTCGGCAGAGACAATCGGTGTGTGTTTGGCACGTCAATTATTTTGGCAAGAGAGCAAACGGCAAATTTCGCCTTAAAGTTGGGTGGGGGGGGGGAAGCCGCCCTCTCAAACTTATAGCTCCGTTACCAAAGCCCCACGCGGACAGTGCGGTGTGTCAAAGTTCGCCGCAAAATAATAACTCAGTTTTGTAAAAAATATTATTCGACAATTGTATTATTTCATTCTGCCATCAAATGGAGAATCCGGTTAGAAATCCTGCGTAGCTGCGCGACCTGCTGTGTGTGACGGAGAATGGATGTGGAACTGATTTTCCACAGGACATCTGAAAAAAACCCTTCAAGTGGCATTTTAGTATCCTTCACAGTCCAGCAATCGCACTCTACCACACACCGCGATGCGATTGTGTGTCGCATTACGATGAAACACCGATATATTTCAATTCTCAGAGATGCAATGTATACACACTAAGCACAAAACCAAATTTCTATTGACGGATCTCCGTGCAGTCATTGGTGACTGCACAAAGATCCATCAACACACGACGGTTGAGAAACCCGGTTGCATCACAGGTATGTGAAACAGATTGGAACCCCGGTACTCAGCAGTTGCCACCTCAATGATCTGACACCCGAGTCTCCCACCATGTTGAAGAGTGTGAGAGTTTTCAAGCAAATGTGACGAGGTCATTCGGGGGGCTTCTCAGCTGAAGGATTCCAGGGCAGCCCCCAGGCGGCCACACGATATCAGTGCAGAATAAGACCGTGTTAGATTGTCGCAGCTCAACTATGAGGAAAGTAATCGGTGAGCACCGCCAGCTGCTTTGTAAACCTAAATGAATTGAATCGCTAATATATATTGACGCCATCTCTTATGGCATATTGCACTAATCTCTACTGGACATTTGTGAAAAAGAGCTTCATAGCTCTGGTGGTGAGATGTTAACTACCTCACCTAGTAGACAGGAGGTCGTGGGTTCGATCCCAACCCTGATGCCTGTATATTTGGGGTTTGCGTGTTCTCCCTGTGATCGCATGGATTTTCCTGCAGGTCCTCTGGTTTTCCCCTCCACATATATAAACGTGCGTTGAGTGTATTTGTCTGCTGTAAATATCCACGTGATCAGCCACTTCATTGGGCACTCATTTGTGGCCAGGTCGCTTCCGATAAAGAGCTGCGTAACTCAAAGTGGGCCTTACCTGGTAACATAAAAATACTTGGGTTCGCTCACAAGATTCCTCCCAAGATATTATCGAGGAGCTCACCAGAGCTGCCTCTAGTAGAGACTCCTTCCGCTAGCAGTGGCGTGAGCAAGCAATTGCAGGGCTGCACCCTTTTACCCTGTGCACTCTTCATCCAAGCTTTTCTCGCAGAAACTTGATTTTGATTAGATTTGTCCAAGTCATTTTTATTGTGGATGCATTTGTATGACAGGAATATGCCCGATCACCTTTCAAAGGAGGTATTTACGAGTTTCTGCCGTGTCTTCACGCGTACAAGTTGAGCTGTGTTAGGCCAATAACAGTGTATCCAATTCGAGTCAACTGTGACCATATCCGGAATCCAGGCGAATATACGTCCAACTCCGCTCTCCATTATATTGTCACCTTTACCTGGCTTTGGCAGACAGAAAAAGTGTTGAACTTTATATCAGTGAAGAACTGTATTACCCAGTGCTAAGGCTATGTCATATCGCCAAAGCCATCACCTGAAAGCCATATCGGGAGATTACCTTCGGCTGAAAGTGTGCATCACCAGTCATACCATTAACGGATGATGGCTTGAATGGATTGTGTAAGAGAAATCGCACTTTATTTCTTCTGTGCTGCGGAGCAGAGAGAAATTGAGTTTGGGACAGAGGAGGGCCTTGGGTGTTGGAAACCACATGTCAATGAGGTCATCTCAAGAAGATCTGTATTGATACACAGATGGACATCAATGTATTGAGGATTTTGGCGAAATGCAATTCACCGGTGTTTGCCTCTGGGGGAGGGGGGCGGATGTCAGATGTGCCATTGCACATCTGCTCTTGTTTGTGCACACGTGTGTGTGTGTGTTGACAAGTGGGGAGCGGTAGTGTAGCGGTTAGCGCTACGCTGCGCTACGGACCCGGCGACCCAAGTTCAATTCCCGCTCACGGCCAACGTCGGTGACGATTACTTGAACCGGTCCTGGACCTTCCCTAGGTCGACTCAGCCTCAAATGAGTACCCGGTGTGGTGCGTAAAAACATCGCCACTAGGAAGACAAAGGCGGCCGGGCGTGGTGCTGGCCACCAACCTCCTCGTGTGCCGTGCCGGCCTTCAGAGGTGCTGCTCGCTAACAGCACTTGCCCCAACAGTCTGTTAAGGCTACACGGGGGATCTTTGTCCTTTGAGTTGACAAGTGGGAGTGATGGTGCATTGGTAAGCATGCCATCCTTAACCGTTTCTCACCAACAGCACTTGCAACAACATTTTGCGTGAGCTAAATGGGGGAAGTGTGTGTGAATGTCTGTATACTGTGTATGTATATGTGTGTGTGTGTATGTGTGCGTGTCTGTTGTGGGTCGTGCATATTGCAGTGGGCAGCACACTGCACTCCAAAGCGAACAAACAGAATTTGATTCCCTCTTGCGGCCAACATCATGTGCGAATATCTGAACCGGTCCTGGAACCTACCCCTAGGTCAACTCGGCCTTAAATGAGCACCCGGGTTGGGTACTGGCCACGCTGCCCTCTTTTTTACGAGTCGCCACTTTGGTGTACACACACGGCACTCGCCCCAACAGCCCGCTAAAGGCTATACGGGGGGGGGGGGGGGGGGGGGCTGGGGGGGGGGCTGGGGGGGGGGGGGGGGGGGCTGGGGCGGGGGCGACCTTTGTCTCTGTATCTTGTGTGCACCCAGCGCTCGGTGCTGAGCGCGATGGCGGAGGAACTCCGCATATCCCTCCGGTGCCACAGCAGAGTGAAGCGGAGGGCCCCGGTTCTCATCCGCGTCGAGGACTCGCTCAACATGCACACCTTCAACGACCGCCGGCTGCCGGGGAAAGAGACGATGGCGTGACTCGGCACGGCGGGATGGCGAGGCCGACGAGCGGCGGCGGCCGTTTGCCGAAGTCGACCGACCTCTCTCCCCGCGGCGGCGGCGGCGGTGGCTCCTCCGGCTCCGTCTCGGCCTCGACCTCGTCCACGCACTCTGGCACCGAGTCTCCTCCGCATCGGATTTTCTGTGAAAACGTTGCGTCCGCCACCTGCCCCCACCCGAAGGGTTTCGATCTCGGAGCGATGCCCCCGGTGAGCCCGTGTAGATAGAGGGACTGCGGCGACGACGACCATGGTGACGGCGGTGGCGCGAACTGGAACTTGGCATTGTCGGGAACGTTTTTGGGTGTGAAATCAAGCAAAGTGAAGCGGATGGAACAACAGCAGCAGCAGCAACGGACAAACTAAATGAACACTTGAAGGAATTTACTTTAAAAACAAGAAATCACTCACGTAAAAAAAAAACTTAAAACAAAATAAGGACTTGTTTGTGGTTGTAGTTATTGTTATCGTTTGACGAAAATGCTTCTTTAGTTTTGTTATGTTTTTTTATTTTTCTTTGCAAGTGAAAAAAAACATTTTAGGTACAGTAGTTGCGTTCTGAACACTGTTCGTTTGTTTAAAATACAACGTTGAGTGAGAATGTCCGATGGTGAAAATGATGACCTGTTCATTCATTGGTATACATACACTCGCTTGCTACAATAAGTTTGTTATTACCGTTATTATTATTACTACTATGATGATAATGTTGTTATTGCACCCGAGATGAATTACCCATGGTATTTTGTTCCAACATGGATTGTAAGAGTTTTATTTAAGAGCACTATATTACACTATATTTATATGGTTGAGTGGCGGTCAAATGATTTTTGAGAATGGGGGCATTTATTGAAAAAAGTCACAACCTAATGTCGGACCTTATTCCAAAGTCCTTCTCTATATGGTAATCATGTGGTGGAATAAGTGCGTTGATGTTGGGTGGCTACACTATTAAAACAGAATTAGTGAGTCGGTGCTTCTGATTAATTTCCCATTCTAAAACAGTTTTCGCTATCCTTTTGTATTATGTGTATGGAAAAAAAAATCCGAATTTTTTAACGTGTGTTATTCATCTCATCGAGTTGTCGCTATTATTTTTTTTCGTGGTATTATTTTTTGTCTGTTGGAAATAAAATATTTCTCCCGTTATGGTTAATAGACCGTTAAAAACCCATTTTACGCTCATTATGACAGGAATGACGATTGTTTTAAAACGAAGGAAGACATCGCTTGGTTATTTGCATCCTAATTTGAAGCAGAGTTGTGTTAATGGAACTGTGGGATGGCAGTAACGCTAGACGTGCCACGCACATACGAACGAGGGCGGGGGGGGGAATCTCTCTTTTAAATGTTGCCCGGTCGTAGGGAAAAAAGATTTGGGATGGAAAATCCTGTCGGTGATTTTGGCTGGACAATTTTACGCTGATTTGGGATGGAAAATCCTGATGGTGATTTGGGATGGAAAATCCTGATGCTGATTTTGGCTGGAGAAATTTAACGCTGGTTTGGGATGGAAAATCCTGATGGTGATTTTGGCTGGAAATATTCTGACAGTCGTTTGGGATGGAGAATGCTGAAGGTGATTTTTGGATGGTAAAAATACTGAAGGTGATTTGGGATGGAAAATCCTGTTGGTGATTTATTGGCGCATCGGCGAATGGGTGAGATGTTTGGTAAACCTTTTGCATGCTAGGTTCTGCCAAGAAAATGTAAACTTTTTGGATAATTGATTTTTTTGACAAACACTGTTTATTTTTAATTTTTCCCAGCCAGTAAAAAAATGGTGCTTTTTAGATGACACACACAGCAATCCATGTTTTCAAACAGATTATTTTTTGTTCGATAAAATATTTGGAATGTTGGTAAATATATATGTTTAACATGTCTGAAATTGAATGTTGTAAAGACATGATGTAGACATGATAAAGCCGAGTCCCTTTTATATATTTAACTTTTTTGAGAGAAATGAAAGGCAGAAGGATTTTAAGACGCTTTATTTCGACGATGTTGTTCTTGTTTGTGAATACCGGATTATCAGGATAAAGGGACATGATTTAATATGCTTTCGTCGTGTGTTCGGATTTGTACGTGGTGTGTTCTGATTTTAATCTTCTCCCATTGTTCAGTCAGACCGGGGGAACATTACCATCACGAGTGATGGTCGACTTTGTTGAGATTAATGATCAATTTTCTGTTATTATCATTTCTGATGGTTTTCTATTTTCTTTTGATTTCCTATATCGAAACCTTTTTTTCGTAAACATATAAGCAAATACAACCCACCGTAATTGATTCAACATAAATTAATTTACAAGGCATATAACTTTTATCAGAATGTCTATTCATCTGCAGTGAATTTCGATTTTAATCCAGCCAATCGTTACATTGCAGAATGCAATTTAATAAAAACTAATCCTTAAATAATTCGTAATGGCACTGCTTTGATGAGAATTTCACGGTTGCGCCGCATATCTTCCCGGTGCGTTTTCCCCGTCGTACCGCGTGTTGTTCGTCATGATGTCCGACGTTTCACAGCACGTACCGGGGGTATTCTTCAATCCCTTAAGAAGCCTCCGCTGCGTGAAACAAAACACCGAGCATCGTGTCCAACACGCGGCACGACGCGTGAACACATTCGTAGAGCTATGACTTGTCAATGGTAATGCAGTATGAGCAGCAAGCAATGACAGAACCGTTTGGGTCCTAATTGCAGTGCCTGGTTTTCCGGTTCGCGATTTAATATCAGAGGAAACTCGGTAGCTATGCTGGAGGCTCATCATGGTTGTGTTAGAGCACTGAGACATCGCCACGGAGATGTTCGAATCCGTGGCGGCTGCCCTCTGATTAAACGGGGTTCTCAAGCGGGGAGCGTGTTTGATGACCGCAGCTTGATCATCAGTCAGTCCAAAAAAACAAAATACAGGGTGTCCGTGAAGCTATCATCCATTATCAAGAAATTATAATTAGACATCGGGGTGCGGCAGTGAGGCAGTGGTTAGCGCACTGCATGCTGCGGATGCAGTGAACCCTGAGTTCCATGCCTGAACGGGGCTGACGTCAGTGGTAATTGATGTCTAAGCCGATTCCGAGCCCTTCCATGTTCACCAACCACGCACCGACCAACGTGGTGAAGTGTGTTCGAACGACTCCCCGTGAATCACACGACACGGGGGGGGGGGGGGCCTTCATCCAACAGTGGATTAACAAAGGGATGCGAGTTATTTTTTTAAATAATTATATCATGTTATTGCTTTTATTTCCACACAACACGAGCCTGCTGCAGAGCGCTATTCGCAGGAAAAGAAGGGGGAGGGCGGAAATTCTGTGGGGGGGAAAAAAGCCCAAGATCGGCGCTACCTTTACAATTATTATCGTTCAGCAATTTGAGCTAAGTTGCATACAAATACAGGCGCACACTCTTTTATTTTAAATATTTAATCGCGTACGTCTGATCCCCTCCTAAACCTCCGTCTGTCCGTCGTGGCCTTGACGACACACGTCGAATTTAGATTTGAGAGAGCGAGGGAGGTCCCTGGAGTTCGCCCTGTGGTTGTTTAAAATGCTTCTGTTACGAGCTGCTGTTAAAAACCATTTGAGCCTGTCCGTTTTTTTTTTGGTGAACATCACTTTTTAATATTTCACACAACCACAACATTCGAGCGCACCGTTCGAACCGCTGTATGATTATTATAACTCTTTAGCAACGGAGAACAACGGTAAAAAAAAAACCAAACAGCCGCGCCACCTGGAATGTTTGGTGTCTCACTCAATTCCAGCTTCAGTTCCCGAAGCAGCTCCCAGCCTGTGGAGCGAAACATCGGACAACGTTTTCGAAACAAATAAACGAGCGGCCATAATCCTAAAACGCATTGCAGAGAGATATGGAGCACCGACTCTAACGACTACATTTGTGGGGGGGGGGGGGGGGGGGGAATTAAGTGGATGATTGACACGCAGTCGACATTTATGAGTGACAACTCTTCTACTTTGATCTTCCTGAGGCATACCCAGAAAAATGGCTTGACGTCTCTTCCTTGCTGCGATATATTTCCACGAGGTATTTTTTTTTCTCTCTTCTTGACAGAACTCCATAATAACAATTTGAATATAATTGGCAACACCATATGCATTAAAGATGAGGAACACAATGCGGAATAGAGTGAAAAGCGACAACTGGGTTTTGCCACGCACCGCCACATGTGTTGCCGGGTGTTCGAGGTGACATTTTAGTTTTTCTTTGGCTCACTCTTTGAGTCGTTCCCACACCTTCCCGCCCCCCCCCCCTCCGCCCCCCGATTGTCAGAGTGATAGGAAGCCTGTCAAGGCTGTCTGTAGCCTTTCTTGTGAACACGATTGCTGCCCCAAAGCAACCCCCCTCACCGCCACCATTCTCCCATGCACTGGCGAATTTCTTTGCATTTTCATCGACCGTGCCATAACAACAGCGGTCGCAGCCTAAGTGAATTTATTTCAATTTGCAGTGGGTGATGCGGCCGGCGGAATCACAGTGGCGATGCGCGACAGTCATTGGGCACGCGACGGACTCGCGACCCAGAGGTCGCCGGCTGGGATTTCCATCTCCTAGGTGCGGCGATTTGGAATGGCAGCGTGGGGCAGCGAGTTTCCTGGAAGCGAGCACAGTGCCGCGTGGAAAGTCGAAATTGCCAGCTGGTATTGTTACGAACACGGATGTCGTGACCTAGTTTTCGTATAGCCCTTCATGCTGCCAGGGTGTCAATGATTAGCACGCTGGACTTGTAATCTAGAGGTCGCCCGTTCGATTTCATCTGCCGGCACACCAGTTGAGAGCATAGTTTCCTCGTGTCTCTAAACTAGAAACCATTTTTTTTTTATTTTACCAGGTAAAGTCCCACTGAGCTATGTGTTTTTTTTTTCAGAAGCGACCCGGCTGCCACAAATGATAGCTCAACGAAGTGGCTTATCACGTGGACATTGTATAGCAGCCCAAATAGCCTAAACGCACGTTCGGAGTAAACGTGGAGAGAAACTAACCGGAGGATCTGGAGAAAAGGAGAAAAATCCTCGTGATCACGGGGAGAACATGCAAAACTACAAATATGCAGGCGTCCGGGTAGGGTTCGAACCCACGACCTCCTGTATATGCCAGGCGAGGTAATTAACATCTCTCCACCCGAGCAGTCTAAACAAGTACACCACAGCTGATAAGTATTTTGCGTGTGGTGGGGTAAAGTGTCGGTACTTCCAACTCTTCCATAACATGAGGCAAGCGTGGAGGAGTAGGCCAAAAAAAAACACCTAGAGGGGCTCTCTAAAGCTCCGTCTTGTGGAGGCCCTTTCACCTGCAGCGGTCTGAACAAAACATTACCTTATATTGCGGACAGTAAATGTTAAATGGAAAGTTTAAAGCGGACAGTAAATGTTAAATGGAAAGTTTAAAGCGGCTCACTCATCCGGTGTGCATGCCGTGTGGCGCCCGTTTTACTTTGGCTGACCCTGAGCCAGTGGTGGAAATTCCACATTTCCTTGGCAAGGTCAAGTCTTGTAGGTAAAAAATAAAACAACAAAAATCATGACGTTTCGGCCACAACACAAGTAGCCTTTTTCAGGTGAAGGAGCAGAACTGTCGGGACGACAGAGCTTCGACAGTTCTGTTTCTTCACCTGAAGTTCTGTTCCTTCACCTGAAGAAGGCTACTTGTGTTGTGGCCGAAACGTCGTGATTTTTGTTGTTTTATTTTTTACCTACGTGACTTTACCGAATAGAACCAAAGAGTATGGATCCTTGCAGTCACGAAAGCATCAAATCTAGAAAAGGTCAAGTCTTCTCACATGATGGCTCTCGGCGTCTCACACATATCGTGGTTTATTCACTTCGTTTTCTGGGATTCGAACTCATGCAGCTCCCTAACCGACTGTGAGTCGAAGGCTGTGCACACAGCATCACGAAGTCCAACGACGGTATACGTATAAGCGCTCCAAGGTAGCCTTTATTCTGTATTCGACGGCACATTGTCAGCTGCATGGAAATCCATTTATAGAATCAATGTTTAGTGCATGGAAGTGCCTCTATGTACAACTCGTTTAGATGTGCAGCTTTCCCAGAGGAGAAACAAATGAAAGGCATCGCTCTGCAATCACATTACAGGTTAATGAGTCAACAGAGAAAGGTGGTGGTCATTGGGAAATGCCAATCAGAGAATCACAATTTATTCTGAAATATTTATGATCCCCCAAACTGCCTTGCCACAGTGGTGGTGCAATGCTTGGCGCACTGTACTTGCAATACAAAAGTCGCCGCTTTCGATGCATACCTCCCCCCACCCACCACGTCTGTCCACTCAGGAGCTGCAATGGGTACCACTGCAGTGAGTTGATCGGCAGGTGATGAGTGGTGGGGTAATGTGTGGGTGTGTTCACACCTCTTCCAAGCAGTGCCGGATTATTCCAGTAGCAAAAGTAGCTACATATGCTACGGGGGCCCCACACTTTCAAGGGCCCTGCGCCAAATGCTTTCAAGCTATCAATTCCGGTTCAATGATTCTGCACTTGCTATATTACTATAGTACTATACCGCCTTCAACTTTTGTGAACCACTGGGGGCCACTGAGGCAGACTCCATCTCCTCAGCAACCCACGACCACCACCCATCCTTGCAGCGCCTCATGGCTCTCCGAACCTCCGAGCGAAGGCTGCGGTAAGCCTCCTCATTCTCTGACGTGGGATTCTGTAGCCGATGACAGTTGGCCTGTCGCTTTTTCTCAACCATCCTGAACACCTGCTCTGTCAGCCAGGGTCTCTGGGGAGGTCTGGACCGCGTACCCAAAGCAGCCATTGCAGCTACATAAGTCACAGTCCTAAACCTCGCCCATTTACCCTCGACATCAGGAGGAGTTGGGGACGATGCCAACCCCAACCACAAGTGATGATGAAATTCTCGCTTGCAACTTTCATCAGATAACTGAGACCAGGCCACTTTAGGTTGGAATGGGGTCCTGGATGTACACCCACCACCGGAGTGGAAGAATGGCAGGTGCATCTTACAGATGACTAGTCGATGGTCAGAGAGCAGATCAGCTCCACGG